TGGCCCGGGTGGTGAGGCAATAATATCCTGCTCAGTGTTTCAGTAATATTCCTGGTTTCAACCTTTGAAAGCTTTCTCGGCTTTCGGGAGTTTATCTCCCGTTTGTCGGCCATTTTTTTAAGCGGGCTCGGGAACCTGAAGGAAATTACGTCACGCTGTTTACGAAATTTGATTGGTCAGTTATCTCTTCTCGTTCCAAATATGGTACTTTCGAAAATGAATAATCACGAGCATCGGACAAAGCAAACATATGAGAGTTACACGTTTCAACCCCTTATGAGTTTCTGGTTTCGAATCATTTTAACTTACATTTCTACTAGGCGACTAAACAAGTGCACACAAACATGTGTAATCTTTGATTACACAAAAGAAATCACTTTTTCTACCGCATGCAAAATAACTGAAAAGTTACTACTTTTGTCCAAACAACGGTAGTTGTGATACAACAAGAAAAATTAACATGTAAAGTAAAGTATTCAAAGTGGTACTCACTCACTGAGCACGGCATATTTTTTTTGTCATCAGTCTGTACTATTAACAGCTGGGACAAATATAATGTCATTTTTTAACCTATTGATAAAGTGCTTAATAAAAACTACTACAGATTTTAATAATGCCTTTACTATTTGTTGTATTACTGAATCCTCCATTTACCATCACTTTTTATATCAACACAGAGAAACACCCGCAATCATTTAAAGAATCACATTCTACTCATTTAAAGAACTTGTCGAGCCTTGAATAATCTTCTGATGAATACTGCATGTGCATTTCATTTTTTGCCATTTATTAAGCCAAAGTGGTTTCCCAAAACTCCCCTCATGAACAAAGATGCTACAGTCTCAAAATTAGCAGTTCATGGGATGACACACACTAATAACAGTTTGGTAGTTAACTGATAACAATGCCTTACATAAATGACATTCTCCCTCAGTACATCGCAAACAAACATGTTGGAAATGAATCTGTCTGGGACTCAATATTGAAATATAGTACCCTACGGGCAAAATTCAGTGACTGTCGAATTGTTATAGCCACAATATGCCGTGTTTATTCTAATTTTGCCATTTGAGCTTTGGAAAGTATTCAAAGTGCCGGATAGTATCAACCTTTGCTAGCATGCACCCATGCTACACTGATGCAAGGAATATTAAAGGAAAAAGTTAAAGATAAAGATTTAATCCTTATTTTACAGTATTAGCTCAAAAATAGTCGTCTAATTAACAAACCTGAGACCAATGGTATGCTCATTTTACCCCCTCTCTTCATCAGTGCTATGTGTTTATGGGTATTTAAATCTACTGACAGCTATACAGAAAGAAAAGAAGTCAAGTGAAGGATTTGAAGTCACACCTGGGAATCGAACTTGGGACTTTCCACACGAAGGCTGTGCACTAACGAATTGTGCTAATCCTTCCTCTTATTGAACCATAAACCTTGCCCTACCTATAGTTCTATTAAGGAAGCAGTTGCAGGATCAAGACTTGTTGTACACTGTATTAAGTAAACATTTTTCTTTTTGTTGTTTAAACCACCCATTCAAAATAATACAACACAAAGTAAACCACCCATTAATACCCCAGAGTATGTGTCTGTTCTCACAGTATACTGACCAATAACTCAAATACTACCTTAATGGGTCATTCAAAATGCCAAAAAGAAAGTTGAGCCCCTTTTAAAACTTGTTTGATTAAATTAACCTGCAAGTAACAAATTGCCAATTTGACTATGATGGTAACAAATACACCTTTAGATCTCACTTAGCCTGTTCCAGGCTCTGAGATGGTGGTGAAAAGTCCTTCTGTAAAAAGAAATGCGAAAAACCCACAGGGGCTGGGAAGAGACAGGGTGGCGCAGCCTGTACGCATTATTTTAAACCGCCTGTTCCAGTATATAAGCTCCTGATACACACTCTGATTGGTCAATTATGACAGATAATATACAGTTGTGTGATCATCAGCTTGTCATCACCAAGATGGCCAAGACGAATTGTGCATGTGCTCTTGATGAATCCGGATTGTCTTGTGCTTTGGACAAGTGTCTGCGACTTGGCTCGCAGTAAAGACGTTTTCGCTATTATGCCCACTGGTTTCGGCAAAAGTTTAATCTTTCAGCTATTCCCACGCTTGGCTAAAGCTGCTCTAACCTTAGAAAACTCTATGATAATCGTCTTTTTGCCGCTGATATGCGAGACCAAGTGGAACAACTGAAAAAGCTTGGATTTTTGGCTGCAGCTATTGGCATCACTGAAGAGGAAGAGGACAATGAGAAGAAAGTGAGACAAGGAAAGTGTGAAATTGTTTTCGGTAGTCTGGAGTCCAGGCTGGTCAAAAAGTGGCAATAACAAAACAGTCCAAAGACTGTTAAGATTATTCGAAAGCTTTTACAAAGGGAGAAACTACGCCCCCCAGTGAAAAGACTCACACTATTTTAAGAGAAACACTAAGCTGGAGTTTACTGAGTCACAATGTAATTCTCCTTGGTTGATGTAGATTAAGTTTAAGCTGCACTTCATTCTTATAGTTCTGGATCTGAAAATCACTACCCACGACAATTTAACATTCTGCACAGAAAACTAACAAGCTGGACCCAGCGTGATACAACATTGCAGAAAAACATAACATTCACGGACTAAAGAAAACCACTCTGTTAGTCAGATCCAGAAGGCACTTTGGAGAAAATTAAAACCCTTACTCAGCCACAATAAAAAGCTTTACGTTTCAAAAGAGGTCAAAGGAAATGCTGTCTAATCAGAGGGCAAATCCTACCGACCAGACACAAAAGCCACAGTAAATCAATGTGTCATGACCTCCCAGTGTGAAACAAGGGGGCTAAAATCACATTTGCTCAGTGAAAATGTAGAACCTTCCAAGCATAACCTACCCAACAGAGGAAAAAACTTACCGCTCCCTTTTATTACTATAAAACCTGCAGCACAATGAACGATCGAGTGCAAGATTCGCAGACGTTGTTGGCAAATTCATAGCCGGGAAACAGCAGATGCATTTTCGGTCATCGCTTCAGAAGGTGAAACTAGAAACCTAGAGTCGAAAAAACTGGATGCTTTCACAGGATAACGAATTTGAAGACATAAATTTCCACACACTCACACAAGGAGTTCCCGTCACGTGAAATGCTCACGCGAGAAACTTGAGAATGATTGTAGCTAACTGAAGTGTTAACAGTTTTGACAGCCACATCCAGACGCAACAAAAATGGGCAGAATAGGGTCGTTAAAGAAATGCTAACAGGCTCTCTCTCCCATTTTTCCCGCCACCATCGCTCCCTTTCCCAAGTCCCACGCATCTTTTTGCTTTGCTCATTTTAATACGTCCCCACTACACTATCTGAGAGCCTGGCACAGGCTACATCTAATTAACCTGGTCGGGAACAAATTGAACTAGGTTGAAACAACTTGACCTAGGTTAAAAACAGATTCAGCTAAGAAAAAATTAACCTACAACATGTACATTAGTGATAAAGTGAGACAAAGTGTTATGATCTTGATTTCAAACCAGAATATGTTGTCCTTAATACCATTCCGTACTTTGTCATCATTTCTCATTTCTCATTTGCCGTTGAATAACGGTGGACGGAAGAGTCAGATCTTATTAATGAAGACACTAGAATGGACACCAAAATAACTTATGAAGAAGAGGCACCCTCCTGTACGAAGATCGAGGTAAAGACATTGGTTTTAGCAATCACAGTATCCCAAACGCTCAAAGACAGGAACGTAAGAGGGATACAACGAACAAGCCAAACAGCAGGAAGAGGCCAAGTGAGGAGAAAACCAGAGAGCCTACAGGCTCTGAGAACACAAGCAACGACAGCGGCAGGAAGCGCCGAAGAGGAGAACCACCAAAGTCCGCCAAAACTAACGGCAGCTCCAATAGAAAGAGATCACGCCATGAAGAGCTAAACTCCATCCAGGAGAAGATTGAAAGCTCCACAAACTCTATCAGTCTGACAGGCTACTGGTGGGGAAAAGTTGTTTACAAATACATAGCGTTTTCTTGTCTATTTTGCTTTTTCTTCGCTATATTACAATGAGCTCGCCGTTAAAGGCAAAAAGAAACAGTTGGTCCATTGCGGTGGAGGATTTTCTTGTAAAAGCAAACAGTTTTCACCCAACGATCAAATTCACGGCTGAAATCTCAGAAACCACACTCTTAGACACGAAAGTGTACAAAGGTGACAGATTCAATAAGCAATCTATTCTTGACATGCGAACGCATTATTCAAAGCTACAGAAACCTTTCAATACACGAACTTCTAATTGTGTCAGCCACCAGGCGTCACGAAAGGCTTTATAAAAGGAGAAGCGTTAAGGCTTCTGAGAACAAATTCCTCTCAATTTACTTTTGAGGTAAACATGAGTAATTTCAAAACACGCCTGCAGAATAGAGATTACCCAGCTAGAATTGTAGAAAAACACCTTTCACAGATTAAATTCTCTGATAGAGTAATGTCACTAGCGCAGAAAAACAAAACTGCACTGAAGAAAACACTGCCCTTTGTAACACAATACCATCCGGCGTTGCCTAACCTAAAGGACATACTCATGGGGAAATGGCACCTTACAGAAAATCAACCGCAACTGAGAGAAATCTTTAAGAAGCCCCCCCATCATCTCATATCGTGAGGGAAAATCCCTAAAGGACATCTACGGTGGCCTAGAGCTGCCATAGGGATTTTATTATATTTTCAGCTTTTTTTTATATGAATGGTTTTAGTTATTTCATTTTGTTTATTTTAGTTTATTTTATTCATTTTACTCTAGTTTTAATTTTTGTTTCATTTCATTTCGTTTTCAAAACAATTTAAAATGAAAAGGAAAATGAAAGGAAATAAAAACCTTCCGTGTTAAATGAAATTAATCTCAAAGCGAAGTCAACTGAAAGTAAATGAAATTAAAACAAATTGAAAAATTTTTGACGGTGGCCTAAAACTGCCATAGACCAAGATGCCTTCCGGGCTCAACCATGTGACACGTCAACATGGTGGACAGGAGAAAGAAATCTTGGGGCACGTTTAAGAATGAGATGAAAGCAAAGAGGCGTAAAATTGGAGATGGCTGCGCAAAGAAGAACCAAAAAGGTAATATTCTTGAAAGACAAGAATTGGTAGTGCAGAGACTGAGCGCAGAAGTCCACTGTCCTTGCAAGTAATACTGGAGTACACTTTGACCATGACCAGACACTTCAAAAATCAGTTGCAGTGCTATGTGTCTACGCAGACAGCAACTCAGATAGGGTCTCTCAAGTGATTATGGGACCAGTCATTATTTAGTGGGGGGAAGGGCTACTAGAATGAGTCAAAATAGTCGAACGGTTGTTATCAAATAACATTCTATGTTTCTTTGCACGCCAAACTTTAATCAATAAAAGAGATATCTTGCTTTCCATGTCCTGCATGTTCTACCAGATTTGGTAGTACACAAGATGTCACTGATTTGTAGACCCTCATTGTCGCCGACACCATTGTCGTCATAATCGTCCTTATCACTGTCTTCATCATCCTCCTAATCATTGCCAACGTCACTTTCGTTGTCACTCTCGTCGTAATCTTGATCTGTATCACTTTTCTCGCCAGTATCTGTCGCTTCTTCCTGCTCACTTTCTTCGCCAATTTCCTCCAGTACATAATTTTCTTATTCGTCATCTGATTCTTCATCCTCAACATCGTCTTCCTCGTTATTTAGCATATCTGCGCCGTTGACTAAGGATCTCACAATGTGGGTAGCAACAATGTCTACTTTGTCACGTTTAAGTGTGGACCTTGAACATCTAACGTGATGTTTGTCGACTCAGAGATCAAAGAAGGAAATGGTTAGAAATAAGCGACGGGCATCACACGACTCCTGCACTAGTCATATTGGAAGGAGTATGACCTTCAGAGCTTCGCTCTAACTAGTAGGTCCTTAAGAGATTTTCCCTTGCGACAAGATATGAAGGGAGGCTCCTTAAAGATTTCTCTTAGTCCCCACTGGTTTTGTACAAGGTGCCATTTCCCCATAAGTATTCTCTTCAGGTTAGGTAAAGCCGGGTGGTATTGTGTAACAAAAGGTAGAAGTTTTTAGTGTGCAGATTCGTTTCTCTGTTGTAGGGCCGTTTTCCTGTAAGCAAATTTTACCCCAGAGAGTTACTTTCTTAAAATAGCGGCAGGGTAGCCTCTTTCTAACAGGCGGTTGTGAAAATATCTGATATTCCTCTCAAATGCGAACTGCGAGGAACTAGTCCTAAGAAGTCTGAGAGCTTCCCCTTTGATGAAGCCTTTTTTCATGCCTGGTGGGTGGCAAGAGTAGAAGTTTGTGTACTGAAATGTTTCTGTTGGTTTGTAATGCGTTTGCACATCTAGGATTGATTTCTTGTCGAATCTAACCCCTTTGAACACTTTTGTGTCCAAGAACGTAATCTCCGTTTCTGACATTTCAGCCCTGAATTTTATCATAGAGTGAAAGTTATTTGCCTTTTTCACAAAACTCTCAATTTTGTCTAGACTTGTATTCCACAGCGAAAACACATCGTCAATATACCTTTTCCAAAAAAGCGGTTTGATGCAACTCTGACTCAATATGTTTTTATATTCTGGCCATGAAGATGTTTGCAAAACCAAGCTGGCTACGACTAAATACAAGCTCAGTGAGCTCAGAGCAAAGGCCTCAAATATCTTTCAGATTGATTATGCACCCTTAAAGAGGAAATCTTGTGCTAAAAAACAATAAACACCGCACTGCAAAACACAAGGCCTTTTGTACCTCACAGAGGATGTCGGCGGTTTTGCAAAATATCGCTCCTGGCTTAGATAAGGACTCTCTTTGTGAAAAGGGTCACATACAAAAAGAGATTTTTTTGAATTTAAAACAAAGAGGTATCCCAAAGGTATCCCAAAATGACACATCTCAGCTAAGCAGTGAGGCGAAAGACTACCTCGCAGGCTTACTAGGCAAGGAGGGAAGCAACTAATTCCTCCCACGTCGACGTTAAGAACGAGCATGACGAAGATCATGATGATGTTGCCTGGAGTGAGGAACAAGACGAAAGTGATGATGATGACTGCAGCGTTTCCATACTGCCCAAACCAGGAGAGGCATCTTCGTCAGATATTGAAGATTACGGTCCATATTGGAATAATTCCTTGGAGTCCATGCCATACCTGGATCACCTTTCGGACTAAATTTTGGTTTTCTTTTCTTTTCTTCAGGCTTCAGCCTGATTGTATCCTTTGTTTTGCTTTGATATCAAAGTATTTTGCCTATTACCTACGGGTAATAGGCAAGAAAATGCTCCGAAAAAACTGACATTGTTATCTTTTGGTGACAGTGTACAGGTTCAAATGTTTCTATCAGTGCTGTTTACTGATGACTTTCTCTCATCTTCCGTTTTTAAAATTGTAGGAACTTTGCCAATTCCTCTCTATATCAAGAAGAGAGGAGATTGACATCTGTAACTGCCAGCAACCATGTCAGCAGTCTGCTCTACCCACTGAAGTACTTCCACTGGATGAAGGGGCCGAAATTCAAAGACATGCACATTATCTCCCAGCTCCGAAGAATGGCTACTGTCCTTCAGAAGCAAGGAGATCTGGAGAGGGCGACAGTGCGGTGAAGATCTCAGAACCCAAAACAAGTGGTTGGATTGATAAGTGTGCTAGTATAAACATGACAGCGGACAAACAAAACAAAATAGAAAAAGAAAAATGTACAAATAAATAAATAAATGGCAGCCCTAGTTGATGAGAGTAAGAAAATATTTGTGCCACCAAGGCTAGGCACAAAAAACCTTATTTCTCCCAGTGGAATGCGTTGGAAAGTTTCAAACAACAACACAAAGATCTCAACATTTTCATATCAGCCTCTTTTAACGACTAGTGACCTACTTGCTTGTTAACATACCTCGTCCCCGTAACTGACCAAAAACAAAAAGCAACGCGCTCAGGAGGCCCGCGACCTGCTGCTGCTGTCACTGTATGCCCACCTCCAACCCAGCAGGGGTATAAAAGTCAGCACGATGGCACTGGTTTTTGAAAGCGAACTTCAAGTGCCGTTCGAGTCAGCCCACTTTTGCAACAGAAATGTTGCACTGTTCTAGAAAGAAGGAGGGATCATATTACACCAAGGAAAGTTCAAACCTTATCAGCACATTGGGCACGAAACAATTCCCATACAGGCTTTCCGTTAGCTGGGATGCAGGGGAGGAGAATAATCCACTTTCCTTACAAGGAACACCAAAGTACACTTTGACTGTGACCACACACATTAAAAATCTGTTGCAGTGCTGTGTCTATGCAGACAGGATCTGAGGTAGGGTCTCTCATGTGATTAAGAGCGAGTCAGTTCATTAGCCTACAACCAATTATTCCAGCTCAAGTTATTGTTAAGGTAACTGGTCTGTTTTTTTGTTTTTTTTTAGCAAAGGCCCCTATTTCCAATCCCTAGCAAATAAAACAGACCTTTAACTCTTGCTTCGCTTCAGATGCAAAATCTCATTCTTTATTTCACTATTTTTTTTTCCTTTTGATGCACTGATCTAGTCACTGTTATCATTGCTACATAGGATTATAAATGAGGGTTAGATAACATTGTTAGTTCTCTAAAACAAAAGATTAGGAAGATGAGGATGATAGTTACATTTCTGTATAATGGTTATAAAAGGCACTGCAAGTTACAGCAGAACCAACACGAAGACCAAGTGGGAGTTCTGGGATGGTACAAAAAGGAAAACAGCCAGCTCCCAGACATGTTGTGTTCAGGACTGGTACACCACGTGTCTGCGGTAGTCCCAACAGCTAACACTCAAAGACAGAGGGATGAATAAGAACGGCAGGAAGTACCACCCAGTCCCCGAGAGCGTCTGCTAGCTCTGCCAGGAATTATGGCAACTCTTTGAACAGGATTTAGAAGTTCTTGCGGGAAAACCAACCTTGCGACCCACAGCAGGTAAACCGGGATTGAAAAAACAGATCTGCACTCTGACAAAAGTGATTTGATAGGTGCTGACTTCAAAATATTAGATTGGCATTTGCTGATGGCATACATAATTTTTCATTTGCAGTCTATGTCCTTTGAAAACAAATCATCTTGAGATGTATTTATTACAGGTCAAAATTAAATTTAGGCTAAAATTTTTCTTACCAAAGCTGATTTTCAGTTTTCTTTTTTTCATAGCCCTAATTCATGAATAATCGAGGCTAGGAGACAAAGGAAATTGAGAATCAATCTAGGTTAAAAACTTTAAACCTAAATTCACTTTTGATCGGTAAAAGAAACAAGGAAATTAAGAATCAACCTTGGTTAAAACATTTTATCTTAATTTAACTTTGACATTTAACATATTTACGTCACTACTTGCACAAAGCATGTTTTATATTTTTTCTCCTTTACTTTATTGATGCAAAGCACCCAGTTGAAATAGAGTAGGATTGGAGACTTCTTAGTGGATTACAGGCAGGTAAATACACTTACAGTACTTGCTGAACAATGAACTGGAAATTCCCCACTCTGAAGAGTTTGGTACTCCCAACAGTGTAAAATTCATCAAAATTAATTCAATCCACCACAGCAGGTAGACAACGTTGCTAAGTCAGTGGATGTACCTATCTCACCTGTTACTTTTTTCTGCTAGGTAGAACAGGCGACAACTTCAGACAAACAGACTTTAAAGTACGCTAGACAAGATGCAGCCTGTCCACCATACAAAGTTGAACGTCCTGGAATAGTGCCACAGAGAGTGTGCGATGTTTGGACAGCTTCTTGGGTGGACTGCACGTGCTTGGGAGAACCCATCACAAGAGATTCACAGGATGAAAGAGATCAAAATTACGCGTACTGTCTATGTCAGGAACACAGAGGGAATATAGCCGATGTGACTAGCAAATGGCACAATGAAACTTGTGCTGCTTGCATGCCGATGAATGACGGGACCCCGAACCATTTGCTATCGCTGTCTGGAATGCACCTGCAACATATGAACATCAGGCCGGGCTGCAATGTAACTGTGGTGATTGTTGTGATGACCAATTGCACTCATCTCCCCAACCTTTTTGCAAGAGTAGGGGTCTTGGCCGTGGAACATATCGCTGTCGGCTTGGGCGACAGTCTGGTATGCAAGCAAATGCCTTGGAAAGCTGAATCCTTCTAATGTAATTGAGAGTGTAGTCAGACTGTGACCTTCAACTAGTATGGACTTATGGGCCAATGTGCTCCAGAAATTGGTTTGAAAAGCACAAAGAGAAACCGAAATGTAAATCGTGCTCTATAAAACTCCACCAGTTCTCATGACTGCAAAGTGTTGCAACTACGTGTCATATACAGAAAACAAGGAAAGACATGATGCCATAATATAGGTGGACTGATGAAACTGGGCCAAGGGGTCATCATTCATTGCACATTTAAGTTTCATGGTTCTTACAAAGAAACTATATACTGACTGCAATCATTGCAGAAAGGAATAAACTGACATCATTTTAATTTTCAAGTGGTCAATTAAGATTTTCACATAAACAAAATCATTTGATAATCCCATTAAATGTTAGATTTAATGGACAATCATTCAAGTGAATAGAGAAAGATTTGTTTTTGCATCACCAATCACCAAAAAAGTATATATCATTTGCACAAAAAAAGTTGTTTTCGATAAAATGCTATAGGAATCAACCTTAATGAGTATTCTTAGTAAGGCAAAACATAGACTTGCTCACAAGTCGAGCTTTTGAGCGCGTAGCGCGACAGTGAGCGCGAAGCACGATCGTATGAGCACCGAGCGAAGCGCAGAGAATCACATCCAGTGACGTCATTTTGGCGCGAACTTCTCAGGATGCTGCATGCAGCGCTGCCTGTCAAACTGTCAAAATACTTTTCGCACCTCGCGAAATCGATCAATGGTTTGCTAATTGAATGGAGGCGGAAAATACACCAACTAAAACTTTTATTCGGGTTGCTGTGCCAGAAAAAATTTGCCTACAATGTGGCAAACTGGTAGACAATCCAGCGTTAAGGAGAAAGTTATTTTCAGGGAAACAGAAGACAAAAACTTGTCAAAGTCTGGAGCTTCTTCTAGGAGATGTGTTTCCGCGAGACAACAATTCAGGCAGTAGTAATCAATGTCAGTCAAAGTAAAAAATTTTTTCAGTCAAATTATTATTCGAAAACCTGTGGAAACAACTCTGAGAAAGTCTAGAAATTACTATACTAAATGACTGTAACTCTGGTTTCTGAACAAATACGGATTTGCTACAAGATATAAATTATAATAATATATTAAGTCTGATTAATTATAAGCTTATTGTACTTCTGGTTAAGAGATTATGGTAACAGATATCTTCAAAAAATAAACGTTGCATCTAAGGACGAGCCCTAACACAATAGATGCTTTTGTTATTTTAAATGATATGGAAATTTTCAGGTGATCTTGCATTCTGTAGTCTTGCAAATGTATATCCCAAACAATAACAAATCAATCGCTCACCATTTTTCAATGCAGTGACTTGCATCGACAAAAACACCCTTAAGGTTTTTCCTGAGTTTTCCATGAGAAATGCTTTGGTGGCTATTCAATAGAGCTTCGGGGCTTCCAAATACCAGCGAGTATTTTCCTTCCGAAATTTCTTTTACTTGTTCCCTCGTGCAGTCTGCTCAAACTGAAGCAGCCGATATTCCTCAGGCAACTAAAGAGGCAACTTGGTCCTTCAAAAGGGCGACTAGTGGCACAACAACTAAGCAAACAGAACACACTTCCAGTCTTTCGCCACGCTCTAAATAGTTGAAAACATAGACAGCAACTTCAAAAGTCAAGCTTTTTCCTGATCCTGTTGGCGCCGAAAGAAATACGTCTTTTCCACTGCAGTAACCCTCGATTACTTTCCTTTGATGTTCACGGACATCTTTGTACTGTGTTTTTTGCAACCCATAAGTGATTGCGTCCTTGACTGAACATATCGTACAACCAGCTGAAAATTTAAGTTTTAGTAAAAGCCTCTACATAAAAAAAACAGCAAAGCAAATTTTACTTTCACCCTGACAGGGTCTTGCGCGCGTGATCTGTTTGATTGACGTGTGGTTTGATAAGGCTGCCTCTGATTGGATAACATTACAGGAGGAATTTTCCACCTGTAAATTTGGCGCGCTGCAAGGGATAAAAGTTGTTGGTGCCGGGTCCTACCACACCAGACCAGAAAACCATGCGAACGACTTTGAGAAAGTCTAGGCCAAACAGAATGTTTATTTCCTCAGCTTTACTTGTTACGCATTCATTATATCAGTCAACAGTTTTACATTAAATCAGTTATCTTTTTGTTTTTCCCATTAACATGTTTATCTCTTGGAAAATGAAAAGGGGCCCGGAATAAATCCCAAGTGACCTCTGATCAACTGCAATATCCTCCTTAGCTTAAGATGTACTTTTCTAATGACTGTTTATAAAAAGGAGAATTTGGCATCAGATTAGAGTCACTTCAGGCCTTCAATTCCACACAGTTTTCAGGGTCAGGTTACTCTTGGTCAACTGTCAACTGTTTAAGGTGGGCTCTTTTTCACTCTTACCCATACTTGTCTAGAAACACCAGGATATCAGGGTCCACATCCAGGTTCACACGCGTTTTTAACAGTACAACACAATAATTGTTCCAGGTTCGATGCACTTTTTGATTATACTTAACAAAGTTGGCTCTATTTGGTCTTCTACCGCTGTGATGAAACCCTTTCTGGAATCTTTTTTACGCCACCAAAACCCACTGACCCTACACCACATGTCCACGATCATATTCTCGTTTTCCAATCTTACTCTTGTCAATCTGCACCAACTTATCAGCCACACCAATCTTCTCCCTCCCTTCAAACGAAGCCGCCGCAAACACTTGACAGCAAAACATATCCCAGTCAGCAGCCGCATGAACCAGGTCCAAGCTTTTTCTATTGTCAAGTTCGCTTTTATAAACCAGCTGCCCTGATCCTTCTCTCACATTTATAATTAATTGTTTTCCTGCATCCCCATACATATCTGTCAATCTGTCTTCACTTTTAAAATAATTCATATCCAATCCACAAATTATGCATGTTCAGTTACAGGCAAGCCCCTCATTCGTTAGCCATGGNTTAACAGTACAACACAATAATTGTTCCAGGTTCGATGCACTTTTTGATTATACTTAACAAAGTTGGCTCTATTTGGTCTTCTACCGCTGTGATGAAACCCTTTCTGGAATCTTTTTTACGCCACCAAAACCTACTGACCCTACACCACATGTCCACGATCATATTCTCGTTTTCCAATCTTACCCTTGTCAATCTGCACCAACTTATCAGCCACACCAATCTTCTCCCTCCCTTCAAACGAAGCCGCCGCAAACAGTTGACAGCAAAACATATCCCAGTCAGCAGCCGCATGAACCAGGTCCAAGCTTTTTCTATTGTCAAGTTCGCTTTTATAAACCAGCTGCCCTGATCCTTCTCTCACATTTATAATTAATTGTTTTCCTGCATCCCCATACATATCTGTCAATCTGTCTTCACTTTTAAAATAATTCATATCCAATCCACAAATTATGCATGTTCAGTTACAGGCAAGCCCCTCATTCGTTAGCCATGGTAGGGTTAATTCTCTGTCCCAAAACCGTTTATTTAGCCACTTGTAAGAAATGTTATTGGCAGTATGTCGCTTCACTTCCACTGAATTTAAAGTTCACTTCTGTAACCAGACCTCTAGCATGCTTAAGAATAAAAAACCTGTGAACTAGCAGTACATTTCAAAAGTTCCCAACATGACATTACACAAACAAGTTTTACTGTATTTGTTCACCTATAACTCAGAATTCTTGATGATATATTGCCAATTCATCTCTTTATTAAGAACAGAGGAGATGTCATGTCATCTGAAGAAATGAAAGGGAAACCTCCTAGAGCACACAGCACCACTCTAGAATGTCTAAAGGAGTGTCAAATTATAGCAGATTAAGTCAAAAAAGTGAAAATTTAGAGTTGTGGCCAGAGCGCTGATGACCTGTGGCACCAGTAAAGGATTGGCATAGGAACTCCAAATGTTCACACACTCCACACAAAGGCACAATATATTCTCAACAGAAGAGGTCAAAATAACAAAAACCAGTTCACAATTTACGTGTGAAAGGCCTGTTGAGTAAGACTAATGTTTCTCACCTTCCACAGATAAAGTCAGAAACTGCCCATGACAAGGACAGATTTGAATTTTTCTGCACTGCAAATGAGACGGACTGGGATTGGTTCCTCTGCCATTAGTGTTTCAGTCACGACTTTGCTAAATGTATGTGGGCAATAAGATCTTATAAATGGAATCTGACTACATGTAGGTCCTATTCTGAAGAAAACCTAGCTGGCTTCAGACCAGGCCCAAGTTTGGCATAGCAAACCCACAGTCGGAGAAGAATCAAGGGAGGTGTCAAAGAATATTAACTCCCACGTAAAGTTACCTAGGATTTCAAGAAAGCTATTCCATCAACAGAACACCTATGTTCCCAGTACTGCAACACTGTGGCATCCCAAAACTGTACTCAATGCTATACAGGATTTTTACAGCAATTCCAGTGGTGCAAAGTTATTGGAGCAGTCTTTGCGGACGTCAGAAAAGCCTTTGATTTTGCAGACCATAAGATTCTTGGCTATAAGTTGCAAGTAAACCGGGATTGAAAAAACAGATCTGCACTCTGACAAAAGTGATTTGATAGGTGCTGACTTCAAAATATTAGATTGGCATTTGCTGATGGCATACATAATTTTTCATTTGCAGTCTATGTCCTTTGAAAACAAATCATCTTGAGATGTATTTATTACAGGTCAAAATTAAATTTAGGCTAAAACTTTTCTTACCAAAGCTGATTTTCAGTTTTCTTTTTTTCATAGCCCTAATTCATGAATAATCGAGGCTAGGAGACAAAGGAAATTGAGAATCAATCTAGGTTAAAAACACTAAACCTAAATTCACTTTTGATCGGTAAAAGAAACAAGGAAATTAAGAATCAACCTTGGTTAAAACATTTTATCTTAATTTAACTTTGACATTTAACATATTTACGTCACTACTTGCACAAAGCATGTTTTATATTTTTTCTCCTTTACTTTATTGATGCAAAGCACCCAGTTGAAATAGAGTAGGATTGGAGACTTCTTAGTGGATTACAGGCAGGTAAATACACTTACAGTACTTGCTGAACAATGAACTGGAAATTCCCCACTCTGAAGAGTTTGGTACTCCCAACAGTGTAAAATTCATCAAAATTAATTCAATCCACCACAGCAGGTAGACAACGTTGCTAAGTCAGTGGATGTACCTATCTCACCTGTTACTTTTTTCTGCTAGGTAGAACAGGCGACAACTTCAGACAAACAGACTTTAAAGTACGCTAGACAAGATGCAGCCTGTCCACCATACAAAGTTGAACGTCCTGGAATAGTGCCACAGAGAGTGTGCGATGTTTGGACAGCTTCTTGGGTGGACTGCACGTGCTTGGGAGAACCCATCACAAGAGATTCACAGGATGAAAGAGATCAAAATTACGCGTACTGTCTATGTCAGGAACACAGAGGGAATATAGCCGATGTGACTAGCAAATGGCACAATGAAACTTGTGCTGCTTGCATGCCGACGAATGACAGGACCCCGAACCATTTGCTATCGCTGTTTGATTTTGCAGACCATAAGATCCTTGGCTATAAGTTGCAAGCCCGCGGCATAACTGTTAGTCTCGAAATCAGTATCACAAGGTAAATTAATGCATCCTGACGATACTACAGCTTTTGTCATTGGTGAGCACTGATGATGTTGTGAGGAAACTAAACTTACTGTTTGCAGAGATCTGTAGTTGGTGCAATTCAAACAAGTTGACTCTATATTTTTGTTGGGCCCCTTTTTCCTGTTCAAGAGGAAGATGCGTATCTTTATCCCCAACAGAAAAATCACCTGTACGTTAGGAGGTGATTGAATGGGAAAAATTTGAATAGTGCATCGGGAACAAACCTGTGGAGCAAGTTCTGAAAGACATGGCTCCAATTCTGGAGCAGGATGTCTACCTAGTGCCCTGCAATCCAGGAAAAAGGGAACACTGGTTTCTCCCAATGGTTCTTCCCAAAAAACAAAGTTGCTGCCCTCAATATTAATGCAAGGTCTTTCGTTAAGCCCGCCATTGAAAGTACCATAAAGAAGATGTGGCTTCTCCTAAAGTTTAAAGAATGAAGTCTCGAATGAATGGCACTTTTTAGGAAATGAACCTCGTGAAATCACACGGCAAGAAAATAGCTTTGATTGTGGTGTTTTTTCTGTCTCTACCTTTGATGCCTCCTTCCAGCATCTTCATCTGTAGCCAAACAAAGCATTACAGTATCAGGAAAGTAATGTTTGTGGAGCTGCACAAGCAAGAGATATGACCTGGACAGTCCTGCAATTGCTGTATGTAATTGCAGTAGACTCTAGTCTAGTAGTCTCTTTTACTTTCACAAACGAAACGAAACGTACAAAAATTTCACTGTCTGACCCAGAAACATCGCTGACCACCACGTGAGATGGCGAGGAAGAATGAGAGCAATTTAAAGAAGAGGATAAGAGTGAGGAAGAGGACAAAGGAGTCAAGAGAGAAGAGAAAAGAGGGAGGAAGAAAGACAAAAAGTACAGGAAAGGAGGGAGTGGCATTTCACTGAAATGGACCGCCAAATACGAACTGCTTCCCCAGCCTACAGGGCCAAAATTTGGGCTGCTTTTCGTTACGTCTGAGCTCCAGAGGAGTTCAACACAGTTCATTGACCCAATTTTAACCCTGATTGGATTACATGGAAAGAGAGAGAATTGCCGGGCCCAAGTGTAAAAATGAAGAAGACTGAAGTAGATTTTGTGAAAGTGAAGAAAGAGGAGAAGAAATGATCATGTTGGGCTCCTCTCGAGACCACATGTCATGAAAATCCACCCAAATCCTAGATAGTTTTAGCTGAGATAAATCTTCCCACCATCATAAGCTTATGGCTGTGGAGAACTTTTTATATATAATTACTGATGTTGAAGATTGGATGTAGTTTAGAGGTGACTGTAATTAAGCAATAATGTCCATAAGTTTGAGAAAAGAAAAGACAAGCAGCAGCTTCTTTGCAATCACAAGGCCCCACCTGAAGAAACGTAATGCAATGAAATACTCAGGCACTGATCACCTTCTTTGAGATCGTGATTAAATGACTTTAAGGAAAGCACTAAACAGCAAGGTCCCAGCTGATGAAAATAATGATTGCCAATTACCATGTATCATAGAGCGACTCAACAAAAAGAACATCGCACTACTGCAAGGCGCAATTTACTGCCCCATTGGCTTCAATATGCGTCCCTTTTTTAGCTGATTGAGCTTTTTTTGAACTGCCCAAAAATGTTGTTGCGTTGCCACTTTTCTGATTTTCTTGCACTTGTGATATAATATAATTTTAGGGCCTTGGTATAAAACCAAAGGTTTTGATAGTAAAGGGAACATATATTATTTTAGTCTATATCCTTACTTTTACTGTTTCTAATGCCTTTCAAGTCACCTGGATCTGTAGTTTATTGGCATGAATCTGCCTGCTCTTCGCCACTGAGTGAAGAAACTTATTGATCATCTATGTGGGCCCACAAAGTCTTTCATCATTTCAGCTCTGTGACAATACTGTGTAATCTCTCAACAAGCTGAAGACATTTATGTATCTTATATACCGTTCCACAAACAAAGTAATAAATGATATAAAGTTGCCAACTGGACAATCGATTAGCCCGTGAAAAGTGTCTTACATTATATAACATAAACCTTACAAAAGGTTTTAAGGTTTTAAGGTTTTAAGGAAAGTTGTAATTTTGGAGGAAAGCACAATAGAAGCATTAGATAGAGTCAAGAACATCTAATCATGGGGCATGTAAATTAAACACTAGTAAATATTTATAATATAAATTGTTAAATAAATCTTGTAACTTTTTTAGTGAAGCGTATAAATTCATTTCAAAAGTCTTTAGACATTTTCTCACCGCAGATAGAAAGAAAACGTTCCAAAGAACATTTAGTTATAATTCTGGCTGTAAAAGAAAGCTTTGAGCGATTTTCTTGCCTCGAGTTCATCTGTGAAAAAAGTAAATACCGGGAAGCCGGCTTAAAACATAAACTTAACCTTTAAGCTTGAAGACTCAGGATTTTTAGAGACACTTTAATATTTGTCTTCTTTTAAGTCTCACATAGCTGGAAATAAGAGCCCATGATTCTGATGGTCCGCAAGCTGCTAACGGAGACTGCGCAGACTGCGCCAAACTAATCGGTTTTTCCCGCGTAAACCCAAATATAAAACTTCTTGCTGCTGCGACAAGGAGGGCGCGCCGAGCAGTTTAATATTATTTGTACAGACTAGAGGTCTTATATCCTCAAAGAATTGAGGGGAAAAAAAGGAAAAATGTCGAGTACGGAGGACAAAACCTTAGCAATTGATTCTTGGACAGAAGAGGAAGTATTTGATTTTATTGGCGACCATTTCTCTGAAGAAATTGCAACAAAGTTCAAAGGTAAGTTCACTGCCGGATTCGAAGAGTAAACTGATGAAGTCTTCCCTGCAATAAACACTCGCATGAACTGAACTAGTAGTTCAGATCATGCGAGTTCAGATCGTAACGAGTAGGAGATTTAACTTCACGTTTTTTCGCATTTCCCAAAATTTCTGACTGCCGGGTATCTAGTTTTTTGAAAACAGTGCCCGGCTGCCGGGTATCTAGACACGATATACAGCCTAAAGAGCTTCGTCGTACTGTTTTTCACCATAAAAGTTGCCACTGTTTCATAGCAAGAGGTTAAGCTCTCTTCAATCCCAAAATGATAAACCTTCTTCCATTTGACAACTTTTTTCCGCCATTATAGGACATTCTCGCAAAAACCAGTTCTAGGAGGACGACGGCTATCACGTTTGCCTGCCAAAATGATGCTGGTTTACGCGCAAGCGCCACTCTATGGTACTGAGAAAATCTCACACTTGCAAGGAATGTTGAGTCATTCTAATTGACTGAAATACCATTGCCTTTTGGGTTTACAGAATAAAAAAGGGTCTGTTCTGAAATTTATGGCACTTAATGCATCGGTGAAACAACAAGTGACCTGTGGTTTAAGCGAAATTGGTTTGCAACTGGAATTTCAGTGGGGAACAGTTTTCCACATATTAATGGATTTGGCATTTATTTCCCTGAACTTGATAATTAATACATGCATGGCAATAGAGTGATTCTACTTAACCCGTGAAATGGGTCAGTAGAATACTACAAACTATTATGCACTAATTCTATTGTCTTCTTTTGTTTACTTAAGTAGCTACTTTGTAGTAGTTGTTAGTAACTGTTTGACGAGTCAAAGTAAAATCACTCAACCATCATTCCCATAAATGGTGAGCAATTCTCAGTAAGGAAATAGTTTACTTATCATGCTATAAATTTGTTCCCATACATTTATGTTGCAGACATTTTCAGATAATAGATTTCATTTAATTCACACGTTCCTCATGCAATTCTCATTAATGGCTATACTATCATTTCCCATGAATGATAGGCTAATGCACATGATGGAAATAGTGTAATAACCATGGTACAAAATTTATTCCCATGCATGGTTATTAGTATTTTCACATAATCCCCCTACAACTCTCATTGATGACTATACTACCATTTCCCATGAATGATAGGGTAATTCACATGATGGAAATAGTGAAATAACCATGGTGCAAAATTTATTCCCATTCATGGTTATTAGCATTTTCTCATATTCCCCATACAATTCTCATTAATGGCTATACTACCATTTCCCATGAATGATAGGCTAATTCCATTCATGGGAAAAGTTCAATGACATGCTTTAAGTCTTACTTTACATTCATGATTACTGCTTCTTTTACATAATGTTTCACTTATGTATCATGGAAAAGCTTAATAATCAGACAAAATTTGAATGGTTATTGCCTGATTTCCATCATAATTATAATTATATTACCCATCACTGTGAAACTTACCAAATGTCATTGATGGGATTTTTAAAAAACCATGAATGGTTATTATTTGCCTTTCCGATGGATGGTTTTTAAGAATGGATTAAATACCATTTCCCATTTAAAAAAACATTAATGGATTTTCACTCTTTTTTCCTGTGCGATGCACCAATATCAGAAAACTAGCGAAAGTTTTTTAACCAAGTTCAAAGGAGGTTGATAAAAGGTTCAACTTCCTCAGCGACTTTCACTTTACATTAAATTTATCAGAGTTTACCACCCACCACTGGATACAATTGCTTGTTACATACTTATGAGATTGTGACCATGCGTATTCATCCAATCCATCTGCCCTCAAATAACCTTGTATTCCACCGACAAGACCTTTTTCTGTGCCAGGTACTGTATATATGTGCACTGGACATCCACATGCTGCTTTGACATGATTTAAAAGGTATTTTGCTGGGCACTTGGGATTTTTGTTGGATCGTTGATCATCTGAAAAATTCCAAGTCAGAAAAAGAGTTCAACTGCCTCATTGCAATTCTTCTGCAAAAGTGTTGGAGCAAGCCAAACAGGAAGCCTTCCAAGCCATGGTTATTTCCCAGTTAGGCAATCACCATGGTATACTACACCTGTTTGGTGTCTGTACTGGTAAAGCAGAGTTTTACAAGTTTTACATTTTTTACTGTGCCAATGGCCAAACTATTATGACACCAACAGAATCACTCAAGAAATGCCATATCAAAGAGCCCTTTGATCGTGTGAGTGTTGTGAGAAACATTGGGGAAATGTTGACTTTCATTTACAGTCAAGGGTACATACACAATGTCCATAAGGGGAACAACGTCCTCTTAACAAGATCACCATCAGGAAGCTTAAGGCCCATCATAGTTTTCAGGACAAGCAAAAAAATAGTCAGTGCACGTCTTCCAAAACCTAATGTAGATTTTGCAAAAGCCAGCAACAATGTTCGTCATGTTGCTCCAGCGATACAGTGAAGGCCCTCTATTGCAAGTGAAGGACTGGGAGTTTTAATCCCCATGTTCAAGGCAGTTGATAACAGCAGTAAATAAGCCACCTCATCCAAGCGACCAGAACTAGACAAAGTATTAGCAAAGATGAGACTGGACTGAGGAACTTTAGTTTGGACAGCTTAAGGTTAATATTAAGATGTCTAAATCATTGTGAACTGTGATAGTTTTTTGGGTAAATATCTCGTAAAAGTAAATTCAGGTGACCAATTGATTAAGTGTGACAATTAGGCCCGGTTTACAGCAATATGAAAACAGCCGCCTACCCAGTAATGGGGCTTTGACTGCTACATGAGCAAAGTCACCCGACACCATAACTCCATGTGATTGTCAGGTTTCTCCTAATTCAAAAACAATTTCCGGCAGGACTTCAGAGTTTCAGCTCCTAAACCTTCAAATCAAGAAACAACAGCTTGAGATCGGCCTCCTAGAGCTTCAGGTACAAGAAAAAGCACACTCTTTACTACCAACTGGTCCCAACAAGCCGTCTGCTTTTCCTTCACCGGATACAGTTCAAACCGGCGTTAACATCAATAAGTCTCAAGGCCAGGTAGACTACATATGATACTAAAATTCTATTATAGACATAGTTGCAAGTTCCTGACCTAATAATCTAAAGTGCTACTGCTAAGGATGAAATCAAAAATACAATAAATAGTGACACATAACCATTACAATGAAAAATGTAGTCAGAGATGGTGGCTTTAAAGTTTACAGTTGACCAAACATACCTCAGACCTTTTACCCAAATACTTCTATGAAACAAGGAGAGGTAAAGCGAGGAGAACTTTACAAGCGAGGATGTTACCACTGTAAAGTCAGACAAATAATAGGGAGGTCTTTTGGTAATATGTAAGGGTTTTTTCATACATATTAATATAATTATTTTGATACTATCAGTTTTATATATTACCGTAGTTATTCGGTTAAAAGGCGCACTCGGTTATAAGACGCACCCCACACTTAGCAATTTAATCAAGCTAAGTTCTCAGACTGAAAATTACATGAAAATACTCTGTTATAAGACGCACCCCAATTTTAGCAATAACTTGCCACCCAAAGACAAATTTTTCTTGAAAAAACCGTGCGCCTTATAACCGAATAACTACGTTACTCTTTCTCTGTACTTCTAACTTATATGTAACTAGCAAAGACTTCCAGTGTTTTTTTCTGTATGTCATTATACTTCTTTCTGTTATCATGTAATTTAATATCACCTTTGTCTAAAGTTTTGTCATAGGTAGATTAACTTGATAGCTATCTGCAGAGCATTCAGCATACTGAAGAGCATTGATCTTTCCCTTGAGTAAGAGTTCCATATGAAAACTTAACAGTTTCAAACGGTAATCTTTTTTGTAATACTTGCTGTAAGGAGATAAGTCCAAAAAAGACCATCATCCTCCACCATCAAAAGTCCACATAACATGCACATAGAAAGATCCATTTCAAAAAGAAAAAAGCAAGGGATGGAGTGTCGCTTCCCGTAGGGTGGGCCTATTCATCCAAACAACAACACGGGCTTCATGCACCAATAATTGGTGCCCAATTATTGGGCATGGGCATGGGCATCTGGCAACACAAAGAAATAGTCAGCATCGACCACATGCAACAAATTTATCTAAATCAGATGGAGGGCAAGACAGCGCCGATCCATCGTAAAGGCAAAGTCTCTGTTGAACAAGAACGGACGCCTTACAACATGACATGCAATTATTTGCCATGGTTACCAATTCAAGACCTGGAAATACGTAAAGCCTTTCACAACAGGTGTTTTTTCTTCATGACTTGAACTACACCATGGTTAGTGGAATACAATGGGAACATTCATCGAGAAGCCTGGTTAGACATGCAGATATTGTGGTCAGAAACATGGCCTATATAAACAACAACGGATTGGGCCCAGATTCAGACGATGCTTTACTTGCGACTGCTGCTGATATCCTTGAATCTGGTGCTGGTCCTAGCAGATCACAAAGAGGATGAGCCACAAGAAACAAACTACTATGGAAGCCCAACCAGGGGGCGGTCTGCCAATTGTTGCTCAACCTATACAAGGAACAGGAACATCTGACGGACACTCTACTAGCTGACCTGAAACTTGAACTTGTGTGCGAAATGATGAAGAAATATTGCAGAATGGACCATAGAAGCATTAAGCGTTGGAGCAAATAGTGTTGCGAAGGGTGGGCAAGAAAAATTAGACCACTCAACAGACTTGGTTTGATTTCTGTACAGAGAATTTGGATTTCTGGATTTTGGCTATCAACAGTTGCGTTATTTCAAGGAGCAGTTATGTTGAAGTCTGCTTTACAAGAATTTTAATCATTTTGTCATTGCTTCTGGTATGTTTCAAGAAAAGAAAGATAAGCAGCACTTTTTGAGAGCCCCACAACCTCAATTAGTATGATGAGCAACATAGCAAAATCCTTACATAACTTTTCTGTAGAGGGTAATTACTTTGTATTGTATTAAAAATTCTACTTCATACTTTTAAATGTTGGTTATATCATGCATCTTGATGTCAGTAAAAATCTGTTCAACAATTTCTATTCAGTAATATTGTGCCAGTAGGTTGATTCTTCAAGCTGTGGAAACATGTGGCCGTGAGTGGCGTAGTGTTGCGCAGTTTATGAGAAAACATGCAGAAGTCCTTGGTAAAGCAGAAGATTACCACGAAAACATCAATAAAAATGACAAGAAAACACCGGAATGACTTCCGAAGAGAGTCAATAAGGTTTTGAGAGATTGTGGGAGCAAATGTGAAGCCAGTCAGCTTCTTTTAGGTTGCAATAAAACTCGCATGTAGCAAGACGTCAGGTTACAATTTAATTTCTTTCTTCCTTCTCAAGGAGCAAGCCAAACAACATTGAAAATGAATATCATAGTGACAGCAGGGCCCACTCAGCTGATGAAGAAGTGCAGCGGAAAACGATTGAAGAGGAAAAAAAACAAGTAGCAAGGAGAATCAAAGAGCAACACACTAAGTACATGATGGACCCCATGGAGCACACAGGCCACTTAGATAAACCTTCATCTGCTTTAAAAGTAGCAGAAAGGAAGTGGGATGAACAGCTGAGTGAAGACAAGTGAGTTAATAGATCATATTTTACAAGAAAAATTTGTAACTTCTGGCAAAATGAACTGAACCTAGGAGGACACCAGTATATGAACTTACAACAGACTCTTCATGGTGATTTAAATATTGTACAGATAAGATTATACTAAAAGAACTAGGAATTGTACCATCTTTGGAAACATGTTTTAGAAAAGCTAAAAACGACGAGTGGGTCATTAACTATATTGCCATTAAAAACAGAGAGATCATTCAAGGGATAGGTCCAATGGTTATCAAACTAACCATTCTCCAGTTTTAGTAGCAAGGGAGTAGACACCAAACATCTTGTTTTTTCTGGAAAAACTAACCTGTACATTAAAACAGGTTAACTGCAGTTGTTTCAAATGCACCAGGAATGATTTGAAATTGACTTGTTAATGTGTTGATGATTTGTTAATGTTTGCGTTCATTCCAGGAAGACAAGGAGGAGAGCCATAGCAGAAAAGCAAAGCACTAGGCAGTCAACGTTTTACACTGGGACCAAAAAGGCCGCAGGTACCGTCTGAAATCTGGCAGCGGGACTTATCTGGTCAATCACGAGACCAAGGACCATATAGTTGCTGAAGCATCAGCACATTTCAAGTTAGAAGCACAAACACTGGTATTTCAAGATGGAACAGAAGTGCTTGACGATTTTAATCTCCCGACATATATTCAACTAACAAAGTTGATTCTCTCCTCGACAAACTGTCCGCATTTCTTGACACTGCCAGAAATCTGGGACATTTTAGAGCCGGCAAATATCAGCGGTAATCTTCCAAAAAAAATGGCGGCCGTAGGCTAAAACAGAAAGCGTTCGATTCTAAATTACAAGGATCTAAATGAAATATCATCTGTTGTTCTGTATGACACCGCCAAAAAAAGGTAAAGGGAAATTTTTTGAAGTGGATAGGCTCATTGAGAAGAGGAAAGTTGGCCATGTGAGCACAACATGTCAGAACAAAATGATTTATTTGATTTTTCTGTTATTTTTTGGGATGAGCCTAAGACATGTCTGTTCTTTCATGGTCAGAATAAGGAGTATCTTGGGAGATGGAAAGGGTGGCCACTGCAAGCCTGAAGTTGGGAGCCAGAAGATTATCTCACACCAGCCTTATTACGGTGAATGTTTGCCTTATATAACTGATTGAGTTACTTTAATGTACTTGTTCTAGGTCTTTTCTTTCTCTCTTTTCACTGAAATTGCTATGTACAAACGGTAATAGAGAAATAACCATCCAAACTTGCTGTTTTCTTTTATTCCAAAATTCAGAACTTATGAAAAGCCTCTCAAGCTGGATAGCTACCGGTTAGAGATGGCTGGAAGAAACTTTTACCATGCCATGCTAACAAGTGTTAAAGGGAAGTCTTCTGCCCCTGTAGATGTACAAATTGACTTTGATGTGCGGAGGTATTTATGGGGAGATGGGGGAGTTGTATCTGAACACGCTGGATATAAACTTTACAACAAAGAAGACTTCTTGCATTTTACCTCCCTTCCTGAGAGCTGGTGGTATTACCTTGATCTCCATGGACAGGGTAAAGCTGTGGATTTCCCTTCAAAGATGAAACCTCTTTAAAGCTGGACTCCGGTTCAATAAATTAAAGAAAATGGAATGCTGAAGCAAGCACCACAAGCACCAGTTGAAAAAGTCATAATACACTTTTGCAAGAAAGCATGTGATTCTACAAAATTGTAAAACTAATCAATTACAGAATGCAGGGCCACTTTTGTCCATATGTTGGTGCATGCAAACTGTTATTTGATTGGATGCAAATGAGTGGCTCTGCATTCGTTGAATTTGTGTTAACAACCTTGTATTTTAGACAAAGAATATCCTTGTTATGTAAAATAACTGTTGTTGTCCGATTTTGGTGAGTTACTCTATTTACAGTTACATATACAATGTAGACCAACCCTAGTGAGGTGAATGTTATTGATGTTCCAATGTGTGGTTTCATCATTACATGCAAAAGTCCTACTGATGTTGTTCATTAGAGATTAACTCGAAAGCTAACCACCTCTGACCACCGTACACTTCTACTCAAGCCATTAATTTTCTTTTTTCCCCTTCTTCTTCTCCTTTATTAGTGTATTCCTACCTTACTACCGGTATATATAATGTAAATATTTTATAAAGTGTGAATAATAAAATTGAATTGAATTGAACTGATGGTTTCAACCTGTAATAATTTGGAAGCTGAACTTCCATGGACAAGCAGTCTGTT